GTGTATTAATAATAACATCAAGTGATAATTTAATTATTTCAAAATAATAATTAAATATATAATAATTAATATTACAACAATTTCTAAAAATTAAAAAAAATTAATAACACATATATCCAAATAAAATAATTATATAAAAATCAATAACAACTATAAATAAATAATTAAATAAATCTACAAAAAAATACATACAAAAAACTATTAATTTATATATTGTTTTATCATCAAATATAATTTTAAAAACTTATAGATAATTATTGATTGATTTAATTAACGAAAATGTTATAAATCTAATATATTTAATTATAATAATTTACTTTTTTATAATATATAAAAAATAAAAAAAAGTGTTAATTAAAAATAGATAATAATAAAACCAATTATTTATTGGTATACTTTTTTATTCTTATATTGGTATTATTTTTATTTAATGTGTTATTATTTTTAATATTTTTTTATACGACTATTATTATACAGTGGTGGTATAAACCCACTTAATTTGGAATAAACCCATTTTTTGAGTGAATTTTGTAAAACTTTGGTTGAACTTTAAGCCAAAATAAAAAAAGGTAAATACCACCCTTCATAAATAGGAAAATGGGATTGATTGGGTCTTTTTTGTTTTTTGAGAAAAAAGTCAATTTTGCTCTGTTTAAATGAAACTCTTTTACTGTTTTTGTTCAACCGTATCAGCAACACTTTAGAAATTAGACTGAAAAATGTTGTTTGTTTCAACGTCAGGTTATTCTTTTTTTTACCCAAGATAGCGTCCATACTAATAATATCCGACATGTCATCAAACTGTAAAGCGGCTTTAGCAGTGTCAGAGAGTTCATCCATGTTGTCGTGGACTATGTCTTTAAACATTTTTTATGAAGCTTTTCATTTTATCGGCCAAGCCTTAAATATTATTTAAGTTGCTCACTTATCAGCTTTGGTACAAGCTGCTATTCTACTTCTCAATATTTTTATTTCCTTGCCAAGGCTTAATGTATTTTTTTAATTGAAGGTTTTTTTATTACGACTATTAAAAATATTATAAAATTATATAAACTTAAATATTATTTTTTCAAGTTCAATTATAGTAAATATAGGGTATATTGTAAATTAAAAGATTAATTTAAGTTCTATAAGAAAAAATCAAAAGGACGGACAAAAAAATGTCTTTTTTGATAATTAACACTTTAAATAACACTGAACAAAATTCAAGTGGTCTAAAAATCGGGGAAATATCGAGTTCATTAAATTAATTTCCGTTTTTTAGAGTTCATATTATGTGCATAAACAATACACAAGCCAAAAAAGGAAAATCATCAAAAATTTGATTAATATCCCTGTAAAAACAGGCCAAAACAAAAATAAGGGCGTTATTTTAAGTGTTAAGTGTTAATATAATTGTATAATTTTATTGACATAATTAATATATATATATTTAATATATATAATTAAATTCATATTTTAAACAAAAAATTACTTCTACAATAAATAAATAAACTCATTGTTGCGATAATATATTCACAAGTTCTCCAATTTCAATTCTTTCAACTGGTTTTTGTTTCCAACACGTTTCAATCACTCTGTACAACCGTTCTGGAACTTCTTCTTTTCTCTCAAGACGTTTTCCCTCTATAACAAACTCCGCGATTTTCCATGGAAATTTGAATATATCATTTTGATAAGCCTCAGACCACCCAAAGACTTCATACAAAGTTACTCCAAATGAGAAGATATCCGCTTCCTTCTTATACTTCTCTTGATTTAATACTTCAGGAGCCATATACACTGGTGTTCCAATACCCTTTGTGAAAGTCATGTTAGTCATCAACATGTTGACATTTCTAGCACTTCCAAAATCTGTCAATTTAGCATTGACCTTCTCATTCAAGTCAAGTGAAATAACAAGAATGTTGTCTGGTTTGATGTCTCTGTGTAGTATCCCGTTCTCATGTAAATACAATACACCTCTAGCTCCATCAATCATCATTTTAACTCGAATTTTCATATCAACTTCTTCACTCTTTTTGTGTTTCATCAAGTCCTGTAGACTGCCATATTGTGCAAATTCGGTGACCATACATATTTTATTTGGTATAAAGACAGCTCCATAGAAGTGGACGATATACTCACTTCGAAATTTGTCCAACATTGAAACTTCTTTCTCAAATTCATCAAACGCCTTTTCATCAAAAGTCGAATTTTTCATCTTTTTAATAGCAACAACATTTCCTAAATAACTTCCTTTATAGACAACGCCAAACGATCCTTCCCCAAGTTTCTTGTCTTCAATTAACACGTCCGGGTCTATTCTTGTCGATTGTTGTGTAATTCCCTTCAT